GCCACTGCACTCCAGTCTGGGCGACAGAGTGAGACTCCAACTCAAAAAAAATAATAATAATAACTTGCAAGTCCTTGATACACTTACTTCTAAGCATTTTATCGTTTTGATGCTACTCAAATGTAGTTTTAAAAGTTTTATTATTTGCTTTCTGTTGATATAAAAATACAATGGATTTTTATATAAGGACTTTGTATCTTATTACCTTGCTAAATATACATTAATTCTCATTATTTCTGTTTGTTTGTTTTGAGGCAGGGTCTCTGTTGCCCATGCTGGAGTGCAGTGGCAAGAATATGGCTCACCCCAACCTTGACCTCCTGTCCTCAGGAGATCCTTCCACTTCAGCCTCCCTGAGTATCTGATACTACTGGTGTGTGCCACCGTACTCGGTTAACTTTTATTTTTTTGTAGAGACAAGGTCTTGCTATGGTGCCTAGGCTGGTCTCAAACTCTCGGGCTCAAGTGATTCTCCTAGCTCAGTCTCCCAAAGTGTTGGGATTATAGGTTTGAGTCACTGCACCTCACCAGTTCTTATTGCTGCTTTGTAGATATCTCAAGCTTTTTAATAAAAATTCTTCTAGTCCCTTAATATAGGCAGTGTTACTTCTTCCTTTCCATGTTTACACCATGTATTGCTTTTATTGCCTCATTGCACTGACTAGGGTCTCTATTACCATTTTAAATAAAAGTGATAGAATTGGACATCATTGCCTTGTTTCCAGTATTAATGATAATATTCAATACTTCATTCATGTGGAACATTAACTGTAAGGTTTCCACAGATGCCCTTTATCAGATTGCAAGTTTTCATCATGAACTGTTGTTAAAATATGTCAAATTCTGTAACTTTTGAGATCTCTATAATTTTTTTTTCTCTTACATGGTAAATGACATCAAATTTGAAGGCTAAACCATCCTTGCATTTTTCAGATGAGCACTACTTTGTCATAATGTATTGTCCTTTTTATATTTTACTGGATTCCATTTGCTAATATTTTATTAAGTATTTTTGTGTTTATATTCAAAAAGAATATAGGTCTCTAGTATACTTTTTTCTGTAATATCTTTATCAGGTTTTAGTGACAAGGTTATGTACATCTCAGGAAATAAACTTGGAAGTGTTTCCTTCTGATTTACCTTTTGAATGAGTTTATGTATGATCTCTTTCTTCATTGATAAAATTCATTGGTAACATAACAAAGTAATAGAGGTTTTTGTAGGATAGTATTTTTGTAAATAATTTAATTTATTTAATTATTATAGACATATACATACTTTCTGTTTTTATGTCACTTTTAAAAATTGTATTTTTCTTTTCTTTTTTTTTTTGGGTTGGAGTCTCACTCTTTGTCACCCAGGTTGGAGTGCAGTGGCACACTCAAAGCCACCACAGCCTTGATCTGCTGTGCGCAGACAATCTTTCCACCTCAGCCTTCCAAGAAACTGGAACTACAGATGCACACCCCGATGCCCGGCTAGTTTGTGTGTGTGTGTGTGTGTGTGTGTGATTTATTGTAGAGATGAGGTCTCACCAAATTGCCAGGGCTGGTCTCAAACCCCTGGGCTTAGGTAATTCTCTCATCTTGGCTTCCCAAAGTGCTGGGATTACAGGATAAGCCACCACACCCGGCCTGTATTTTTCAATATTAAAAATGTTAAGATATCTCAATAGGTACAGAAAAATCATTTGAAAAAATTCAACAACTATTTCAACTAAGTTGCTAAAATATTGGCATAATATATCATTATTTTATTAATGTCTGTGGGATCTTTAGTGATAGACCTGTTTCATTCCTGATGTTGGTAATTTGTGTTTTCATTCCTTTTTTGTGGTCAGTCTTGCTATGGGCTTATTGATTTTATTAATCTTTTCAAAGAACCAACTTTTGACTTTTTAATTTTCTCTTGCTTCTCTGCTTTCTATTTAGTTTCTTTCTGTTATCCTCATTATATATTTTTTTACTACCAGCCTCAGGTTTAATTTGTTCTTTTTCTATATTCCTAAGATGGATATTTATTTATTTACTTATTTTGAATTGGAGTCTCACTCCATTGCCTAGGCTGGAGTGCAGTGGCAGGCTCTCGGTCACCCCAACTTCGACCTACTGGGCTCAGGCAATTTTTCCACCTCGGTCTTCCATGTAGCCGGAACTATAGGCACACACTACCACACCTGGCTAATTTTTAAAAATTTATTGTAGAGAAGAGGTTTCACCAAGTTGCCTAGGCTGGTCTAGAACCTGCGGGCTCAGGCAATATACTTGCCTCAGCCTCCTAAAGTGCTGGGATTGCAGGTTGAGCCACTGAGCCCAGCCTAAGATGGAAATTTATGTCACTGATTTTAAATGTCTATTTAAAAATATACACCATAGTATAGCTTCTAACACTACAAATTTTATTTGAAGAGCTGCTTTTTACAAATTTTGACATGCTGTATGTTTATTAAAATTTGGTGTGGCTATTTGGCCTATCAGTCTATCTATCTATCTATCTATCTATCTATCTATCTATCTATCTATCTATCTACCTATCTGTCACCTATTTTTTGGAGACAGCGTCTTGATCTGTTGTCTAGGCTGGGTACAGTAGTACAATTGTAGCTCACTGCAGCCTTGAACTCCTGGGCTCAAGCAATCCTCCCACCTCAGCCTCCCAAGTAGCTAGAAATACAGGTTTGTGTTACCATGCCGTCTAATTAAAAAAAAATAAATAAATTAGAGATGAAGTCGGTCTCACTATGTTGTCCAGGCTGGTCTTGATCTCTGGTCTCAAGGCATTCTTTCACCCTGGTCTCTCAAAGTGCTGAGATTACAGATATGAGCCACCACCCGTGGCCTTGGTTTCTTTTTATATATAATATATATAGATCAAACATGAATCTTATATGTACAATTAAATGAGTTTTTAAAGATTTATACACCCCTGCAACCCAAATTTCTATTAAAAGACGGAACATTTCTCTATGGTCCTTCCCAGATATTCTCAATTTTCCAGGGAAAAAAGTCTTTGTTCTATTTTTTCTTTTTTTATTCATAGGTGAATTTTGCCTGTTCCAGACTTTCATCTAAATGAAATCATGTTATGTACTCTTTCGTCCAAAGCTTTATTGCGAAACTGTCAGCAAAGGAACAGGCTCAAATCTGCCTCCCTTAATTGGGACCTGGGGCAAATTTATGGGCTTGCTAGGCAAGAGAAAGGATATAGAAATATTGGTTTTGTGGGGTCTCATTGGAGGTCTTTAAATTTGACCATTTAGGGAAAGATATGTTGGGCAGATTTTAGCCCTAGATCTTTTAGGCCAGAGGGACACCTTGCTTTTGAAAGAGTCCCAACATCCAGATTCTGGTCATGTCCCAGTCTTCTTGGCTCTTCTTTGGTGTTGTTAGAGGTAAAAGCTTTTTTGGAGGGACTTGCCTGGGCTACACGACTTGCAGTTTTTGACTCTACAAGGTACCTACAAGGTAACTAGACAGTTTGTTATCAACAGAGTACGCTAGTTTGAACGGGTCCTGCGGTTAGTCCTCATGAACAATGATGCTTTTTTCCCCCTGAATTCCTTCCTGGATTTTCAGTCACTCAGGCTGAAACTCAGCCCCAAACTCTTCCCTGTGGTATGTCAAGAAAATATAACTGTAGATTTATGCTAAAAGTTCTTTCTTCATTGCACTGAAAGAACTGGGGAGTGTTCTCATGCAAAAAGTTGCATAAATGTGAATTGTATTCAATGAAATTTTCTTCCTTCAAAGATAACCTTTCTTCCAATTTCTGCCTGTTTTATTCATTTTTCAGCCCATTTAAAGAATTTCTTGGCTTTTTGTTCAAGTTTATAACTGTTATCTATGAGAGAATCAGTTAGATTCAAACTCCTTCACCATGACCAGCATCAGAAAACCTCTCAAAGCATTCCTAAACTGAACAAATTTAGCCTTTCCATGCTCATTCTCCAACAGGTATAATCACTGATGCCTGCAGTTAACTCTTCTCATATTATTTCATCTAGGGTTACAGAAGGGCTAGTGGCTGTCAAACCTAACATGCTATTCAAGACAGAACTATGTAAAATGTACTATATCAGAGCAGTCTGCTAGAAACAGGGATATTATGAGACAAAAGATGAGTTCCTTTCTCTCAAGGAACTAACAGTATCTTAAGTGCAGCAAACCACCTACATAAACACAACTCATGGAAATCAACTGTGGCTCCTGCATGCAGGGGAGAGGCACTCAGGGTTGGCTTTCTAGAGAAGAGGAAGACTTCAGAAGGGAGTCTTCTATTTCCATTTTCTTTCTTCCTGCTGAATGATATCTGGGCAGTTTTTACAAAATTATTACAGAATTGCCTTTTTCCTTTTTTACAACTTATTCAGGTGTAGAGAAGGAAGAAGATGTATGATTTTAAAATTAACCACTCTCAGAACTCCCACCATTTGGTTTGAGGATAACAAAAGCAACATAACCTTCTAGACAGCTTGACTTTTACATGACCAAACTATTTTTCTTTTATTTCAAAGATATTGGTTGCAATTCAGGATTAGGTACATAAGTGGTCATCATACAGGTAAAGTTTGGACCTCCCTTTGGTCCCCACTTCTCTTGGTTTGAGATCAGGTACCCTTATTGATGTTATATGCCACCCCCCAGCACTGTCCTGCTACTACCAATCCCTTTCTTATGGTATTATGATAAATGTTCTTACACCTTTATGACACCTCAGCTGTCTGGGTATATCTCTTCATATTATAGATATAACTAAGAATAGATAAAAGTACGTGAAAATCCTCTGGTAGGTTTAATGAACATTCTTGCTATTGCTATCTGTGTTATTTCCACAAAACATTTCTTGATTATTCCAAAGACTCTTTCTTTCTTGATCTTGATATGAACTTATGACATCCAGAACTGTGGAATCTCCAACTTGGTAGTTTTTTTAATGAAATAAGGACCAGAAGAACATGACATAAATTCCTACCAAAATTCTAAACTTTTTGAAAGAATGCACAAAATCAAATGTACACAAAAGATGCATCATTTTATATAGTTTGATTTAATTTTTAAGTTGGATTCCAGTTGTCCATGAGTTGATGGAAGGGAAAAAATGCATGCGAAGTAAAACATAATCTCAGTTCCTCTGGAATACCTTTCCTCCCCACACCATCCTTGTCTTATGCAATGCCAAGGTGTGTGCATGTTAGGTGAAAGGAAAGACATTTGATCTTTGATCATTCGTCCACACACATTCCTAGTTAGCATGTACTGTTCCTGACCATCAGGTCCACTAGGGTTTCTGCTGCTTGGGGACCAAGTCTGAGGTATGGAAATCTTTTCTCAGGCTGCATGCAAAGCTGGCTGTCTAGACTTGCCATCTTTCCAGAGATCTTGCAGGGAAGCAGAGTAAAATACCATATATGCTTCTTAGCCTTTCAGAACCCGCAAACCTCTCTAAGCTCTGCTTTTTTCCTCCAGCAAGAAGGGATGTCTTTTATGCTGGGATAAGGAACATGATTCTCACTGCTTCTTTTCAAGGTATTTTATCTGTGCATACAAAAGCCAAAGATACTCGCAAGCCACTTCTGTTTTCTGCTCTGCCATTGGACTCTCCTGAGGCAATGCACTCAGTATCTCTGCTTCAATTGGGAAAAGAGGGAGAAAGTGAGGAAGACATTCTACGATTATATTCTGCCACATACCTGTTTACATTGTGCATTTAAGGTATGCACTTAATGCTTATGTCCACAGCTCATTTTGCAGGTTTAGTTTCCAAGAAATCTATCATAAGCCTAAAATTCATCATAAACCTCTGGATTTCATGTGGTGGCATAGTTTTCTCTAACCCATAAGTTACGTATATTATCCAATATCTAAATACTGCTCATTGATATTTTTACTGATTTCTGCAGAGCTGAATGCCAAAGGAGCCATTCTCTATGCTTTTGAAATGTTTCGCCTCAAGTCCTGTGTGGATTTCAAGCCCTATGAGGGAGAGAGATCATATATCATATTTCAACAGTTTGATGGGTTAGTATAAAATTGTACAGAGTGTGAAAAATCATACATCTAAACTAACTAAGAAACTAAAAGCAAAATCAAATCATTTGCTGTGAATTTGTAAATTATATACTTTTAACATACTATGCAAAGAATTAATTGTTTGGATGTGTCTGAGTCCTGGGGAGATTTATTTCAATTCTTTTTAAAGGTTTAGGTCATGATTGAAATTATAGTACTTTTTAAAAAATCAAGTTTATTGAAGTATATGTTTCACCCTTTAAAGATTACTGTTCTAAATTGAAGTACTCTGTTGGCTGAACTTCTTTGAAAAGTTCTAAATGTAAATTTTCTCTTTGAAGGTATTTATATCTAAGAATAAGTAAATGGTGCATCAGTTTCAAAAGCCCTTTTTCTTCAGTGGTGTTTATGTCAATCAACCTGGGCTAGATGCAGTTGGGAAGTGAAACCACCATCTGTTGTGACACCAGCAGCCCCTCCTGGAGGTGTTTCCTCATACATTTTCCATCACTACCTCCAGGCTTGGCTAGGAGTGATTGTCTAGTTCCGCCCATGCAGTTTTAATAATCATGGGTAAATAATAAAGATGAAAAGTGAAGTTAGCACATGATTTAGCCTCTTAGGAAAAAATAGTATGCAGAAAATGGCAGTTAAAAAAAATGAAATACTGAAATACCTGAGTAATCATTTTCTTTGCTCATTCTTTTACTTAAAAAAATTAGGAACATCTACTATGTGCCAGGAAGTATGCTAGTCTGTAGGTACAAAAAAATAGGAGATACAGTTTTAGACCTCAAGGTTTAAGGTTGACAAGTAAAGACTGTGAGAAACAAGTTTTAATACATGATGATGAGTGCTGTGGACTGTACCAGGACAGAAGTAGAACTTCTAACAAGGTGTGGGGTGATACATCAGGAAGAACTGAGGTGAGTGCTAGAGAGATAAGGAAGAGAGGAGGACGTAGAGGCAGAGAAGAGGAAAGGACAAATGCAGGGTGGGAAGAGAGGGAGAGAGTGGGAGAGGAGGAGAAGTAAGGTGAGGGGGAGGCGAGGAAACATTGGGAAGAAGTAGGAGGAGATGAGAAGAGAGGGACATGAACATGAACCTGGCTTACTTGGAGAACTTCCCATGTCCAATGTACCAAAACATTACATGTCGGTTGCAGATGGAGAACCAGGGAGCCAGAAAGGTCGACAGGAGCCTGGTGATAGGCAGCCCTGTGTGAGAGAACCTACTGATTTGTACAAGATTCTTTCTGAGCTCAGTTTTCCATCATAGGATTACTTGATCAACAGTGGATAAAGGATTGAGATAGGGTGAGACTGTGGCAAGAGACAGGTTAAAGGAAGCTCCAGTCGTCCAGGAGAGAAATGGAGGGGCCATTAGGGAGGAGGAGGCAGTTGAAATCAAGAGGGAATGGATGCCAGAAATATGTGAAGAGGTAGTCTTATGAGAGTCCAACCTTATCAGATTGGTTAATGAGAGGGGTGAGGAAAAGACAGGAATCAAGGATGTCTCTGAGGTTTCTGATGAGGGTAACTGGAGAGTGGTGACTACTTTCTCTGAGGTTGGGAATATTGCTGAAGGAATAGCTTTTGGGATAAGAGAGTGAATTCATTTGGGGTATGTGGCTTATTACTTGAGTTTCTTGTAGGTCATATAAATGAGGATAAACATTAATATTTAATTAATTTCTTTTTCTATAAAGGAAAAACATTTAAAAACATATTTCAGGCCTTGAAAAGACCACACATTTTAGACTTTTACTAAAAATCATTGAATTGTATATTTAGAATTTTAAAGTGTTATGGTATATAAATGACACTTTAATAAAAGTATTAGAAAATAAGTAACTAAGATCCATCTTTGAGTATAAATCAAATCTATTAACATGGGAAGATACATGACATTAGCAATCTTGGGGAGAACAATGGAAGGTAAGACAATGTGACTGTCACCATAGAACGTGCAATCCGTCAGTTGTATTTACGATGATTGGCAAATCTTTTTTTCTGCTCAGTATTGGTTAAAATATCTATTTTTACTTCCAAGCTAAAGCCAGTAAGGAGATAACTTGTGGAAAGCTTTAGTCTTACTAATATAGTTTTATGAGAAAAAACTTACTGGAGAAAGAAAGGACAAGACACTCTACCAATGAGGAATTTAGGAAGTCTGCCAAAAGTTCCTGAGTCCACTGGTTTCTGAAGGAAGTTATAGGAAAAGCCTCCTTGCAGGGGGGCCCTTCAGAAACGAGTTAAGCGCCTCCTCTGTGCCATCCTAACACTAGAGATCGGCCTACATCCAAAGACATGGACTTGATTAACTTGCCTTTTTACTGAGATTCTTTTCATGATCATACAGTTTTTGACTGCTCATTATAGGTAATTTGGAAAATTGTTATATAAAGGCAATAGTGTCATTTGCAGTACCCTGTGGATTTATGGAGATGAGGAAGAATGCCAAGTTTTATTACTTTCCACTTTAATGCTTCATTAGGACTAATTAGCTTCTAGGTATGTACCACTTGTATAATAGATCATCACTTTTAAGGCCTGTATAGTATCTCTTCTAGGGAATATTTCTTATTTAAGTATTCCCCCATTTTGAATTATCAGCATGTGAAAATGCTATTGATAATTACTTTTTAAAAATCAAACCTAACTTCCTTCTAATTTGTGTTCTGGAATCCCGTGAATTACAGCCACTTAGGAATTCTCTCTCTAGAAGAAGTTTTCCCTTGTCTTTTCGTTAAAGGTGCTGGTCTGAGGTTGGTGATCAACACGTGGGACAGAACCTTTCCATTGGCCCAGGTTGTGACTACAAGGCCATCATTGAACATGAGATCCTGCACGCTTTGGGATTTTACCATGAACAGTCAAGGACTGACCGGGATGATTATGTGAACATCTGGTGGGATGAAATTCTTGAAGGTATGATTGTGTAGAGATTACTATTACATTTATCACTAGCTGAGACCAATCCTGGGATGATCAGGCCAAATCTGTATGTAGACAGAAGCTTCAGCTTCTCTAGTGGGACTATGAAGAGGTTACGATTTCTTGGCCTCTTTTATGGGCTATGCTAGTTTGACCATAACTCATCCCACATAAGAGTCTCCGGGAATGGTGTGTGTTGATGAACTCAATGTGGGAGTTGCCTGAAAGTTAATCAAAAGTTTGCTTTCTATCAGTGTTGTTGCTGAAACTCTATCTAAAGCTGTCTACTTTTCAGTTTCAATGAGTAAAGTGAATGTGAGGTCTCTGAGGAATTAGAGTTATTTTTCTGGGTGTGAAATGTTCTTTGGTTCTATAGAAGATTATATGAAGTTTAGTTAACATTACAATAACCTTAGGACCTACTCCAGAATTATTTTTTAGTTGTTTTACCAAATCAATAATAGAAGTTTAAAAAACAACAAAAAATGAATGCTTTCATCTAAAATAATACCCCCTGTTGTATTAATTCTGGCTAATTATCTGAGTTCTGATTAATCAAAAGTTAATTGTTTTTTCTTCCTCATTTCTAAGCACCTCTCCTCTTCTGCCCTCACCACAGACTATGCAAAAATAACAGTTTTATCTTACGTGTTATGCAGTTATGTTATTCTAACAATTTTGATGTTCTTCAGTTTCCTTAAATGCCACTTTCCTTTAGTTTGAGAAAACTAAATAGAATGCTTCTGAGTACACTAAAACATTATTCATTGAACAGTTTTCTAATGTGCTGGAAAAAAGTCAATGCTGTGTTTCTGAAGATAATTAGGTTTTAAGTAGGAATTAGTTCAGGGAGTGGAAAAACATTGGTATTGGCAGTAAGTGATTAATGAAAATTAAAAGTATTGAAAATGCCTTAACTGTTACCATGTTTGGCTTTTGTAAGGCAAATAATAGCCTTGTGTAGGTATTTGTTCTGTTTAGATTCCAGTTTCATATGTGGGTTCATATATTGTAGTACATCTAGAATTATTTTACTTTTAGAAGCTTAGAAGGACTGACCAAGCTTTAAAATTAAGTATAAATTCTCAAAAGTTTTCCGTCAGAACTAGCTTGTTTTGGAGTAAGATGGTCAATGACTCTCACATGAACCAGGGGTAGGGCTGGCTAATCCCATCAAAATCACAAGTGGGATTTCTCCATCTATGTCCTCCCAATCCTTCATATTCTAATAATTCTATGACTGCAGAGTGGTATTGAAAGGAAGAAAACTGTGTGATTTGTAACAGTCGAATGGGTCACCAAGTTTGAACACATACTCCCACCATCCTACCATCCCTACCACTGAGCCAAAGGCTAAATGGCATTCTTCTTTGCTTCCCAGTCCTGTCTAGAAAAGTTCTGTAGAGTATACACCCAGAGATGGGGTAAAAGATCAGTCTTAAAGTATTTGTCTCCCAAGAGTAATTGTATTTTAACTGGATGCTTGTAGAGAGGAAAGGGAAAACAGGTCACAGGTCAAAGAACTGAATCTGATTGAGACTCAGGGTGCTGTTAGACTGTCAATATTTGCTCGCAGGCCTGAATTTCTTACTTTCCTGTATATATACTTAGTTTTGCTGAAAATTTTATGAGAAAGCAAACATTCCTATTTCTAAGTCTTACTGAGGACAATGTTTAGCACTTTTAACATAGTTTTAGGCCAAATGAAGTCCCCTTTGTCCATCTGAGCCAACACATTTGTCAGGGAGCATTTTCAGACTTACTCAGCTCTGGTTTGATCATGTTGTTCAACATATATTTGCTCATCTCCTATCTATATTTTCATCAGGCACACTTCCATATATCTAAAATTGCCTTCAGTCACTGAAGAATTGTTCTCAAAGGGGTTGTCAGATCCAATAATAATAAACACAAGCAGTACTATTTCAGTATTTTTAGTTCTACAGGGTAATCTGTGACTTTTATTGCATCTCATCTTCAGTTGATGACAATCTTACTGTTTTACCTAAGAAGACACTGTACTGGCAATGAAATTCTCTCACAAGTCCATCTCTATTTCTTGAGTCCAAATTGTGTTTTTCATTATTTTTTTCCTTCAAACAGGGAAGAGACTCAGTTTCTGAGGTCTAACAAGGGCCACTTGTTTTGTAGGTAAAGCTGTATAGAGACACAGTCATGTCCATTTGTTGGTGTATAGTCTATGGCTACTTTTTGCTCGAGTGGCAGAGTTTAGTAGTTGCAACAGAGAACATATGGCTTGCAAAGCCAAAAATGTTTTCTATCTGCTATAGAAACATTTTGCAGACTGACTCCTGATGGGATCACATCCCCTGGATTACAGCCTCTTTAAGGCTCTCAGCTGTGAGTTCTGTGGAAACAAGACTACGACTGGTCCATTCATGATCAGGGGCCACCACCTACCTAGCACAACTCCCAGTAGATGGTAGGCATAACAAAAATGTGTTGAACACACATTTATAAACTATTCAAAACATTTATTTATAGAGCATTCTGGTAAGATTCTTGAATAGTAAAGACTAGCACAATCTATTCTAACCTGATGGTTTTATGGAAAATTAAGTAAAACACATCCAGTGAGTTGAAAGTGCCTGACTTCAGGTGCCACCGAGAGTCACCAGAGATCCCAGACTCGAACCCCAGTCCTCTCCAACACCTTTGTGCTCTTTACAATACCACTGCCTCAAATGACATCCTAAGGCCAAGTGTTCTGAAAGGATTTACATTTCCCTTTTTCATCCCTGTTTCACCTTTGAAAATCCTTTGATCCCTCTCGAGTAATCCACAATAAAACCTCTGTGAGTTAGGAGAGTGAAACATCAGTATTCTGATTTTACAGTTAAAACAAGGTCTTGTTCAAGGTCTTGCTCAAACAAGGTCTTGCTCAAACAAGGTCTTCCTCTTTGCTCCCTCGAGTGCCTGCTAGAGCACCGCCGGTCTGCACCACTGTCCTTCAGTCCTACAGGTAGCTGCATGGGAGGCAGCTATGTTTCTTCCTCACTAATTGTTAAGAACAACTGGATGGAGAGCTAGAAAAGGAGAACATGAGGATGGAAAGTTACTACTGAAAGAGTTATGAGCATCCTCATTCAGTTGTCCTATCACTCCACAAGAGTGAAATTAAATATCGAAAACCTTCCTATTGCTGCAGCTGAAACAGTAAATTCCTGTGATTAGTCCATTCAAAGACCATCAGATCAGCTATTTTGCTCAGCGTATCACATTGTGGGTACATCTTATTTCACTTGCACTAATCGCAGGAAAGCACTTACCTTCTATATTTTCATAGGAAAACAAGTTTTCTTCTTCCTATTTTATTTTTCTCCCCAGATGTTATTTCTGGAGCAGAAAGGTGTGAACCTTGATTGATAAGATGCCTCCTACTTGCTTTCATTTGCTTCCCTTTCCCTCTGCCCCTCGGATTTCCTTTTCCTCATCCATAAGTCAGCCAGATACAGCTCTGGGTAGACTCAGTGGCTGAGGTACTTGGCTATTAGAAAGATGTATCTTGAATACCATTAACAGTGAACATTTTCCTGAATTCAAAATTCCTTTTTCTGCCACTTGAAATACTTGCCTCAGTTTGCTATATAACCTTCTCTGTCTGAAAGCCTACACACACACACACACACACACACACACACACACACACACATACACACACACATACATTTGTAATGCATCTTTGACTTAAATATGTGCATGTATTTCACAGTCATTATAATTTATACTACATTATTATATAATACATTGATATTATTTAAGCTAATATTAATAATGTATTAATTTTATATTATATTGCTTATAAATTATGTATTTAAATTAAATTTATGTATTTAAATTAAATTGAAATTTAATTAATTAGTTAATTAAATTACATATTTGAATTATGTATTTAAATTAAAGATGAATTCTTTCCCATTTTTGGAGGGTCTCTGAGTATCTAGTCAAAGAGAACAACGTGGGGAAAATAATGTGACTTAGCAGGACCTGTGGATTCTCTCCCTAACAGGTTTCCAGCACAACTTCAACACCTACAATGACAGCTTCATCACAGATCTCAATACACCCTATGATTATGAGTCTTTGATGCACTATGCACCTTTCTCATTTAACAAAAATGAAAGTGTTCCTACCATCACAGCCAAGATCCCTGAGTTTGATTCCATCATTGGGCAGCGTCTGGATTTCAGTAACATCGATTTAGAGAGGCTGAACAGAATGTACAACTGCAGTGAGTACCTCAGGGTCTGAGGACTGGGTGAACTAGCCACAATTGAGATTCCCTTAGCCTTAGACGGATCTTTTACATTATCCTTTGCTCTTCTTAAATGTTCCAGTTAAGAGGACATAGATAAACTGTATTGCCTTAGTTGGGATATCTCTAGATTAGATAAAAGTATAATACCTACCTCACAGGATGGTTACAAAGATCAGTTAGGTAGTTGTGTTTTATAAAGTGAAAACACTGTACAAAAGTGAGGAGCTGTTATAGTCTGCCTTCTTTAGCTTCTTTTTGAAGGGTGAATTATTATTTTGAGATCAAGTTAGGTGCTGGGCTTAAAAGCATTTCGTACCCTGCAAAATTATTTACCCACATGAGTTATTACTAGAATGAATAACCTAATCCTCTGGGATGGGTTGTCATCTAAGATGATCCCACTCTGAAGCAGTGACTTGTCACTTATAGCTCTAGAGGCACATCCCTTGATTCTGCTCAACAGAAGATCCCTAAGTACAAAGCCCAGTATTACAGGTTTCTTGTTCTAAAAGAGTTCATGTTTGGCATTTACATAGCAAAGAATGATTACAGGTATTCTTATCTTGACTCTGTGAGGTAGCTGGAACTGTGTCTATATTGGTAAGTTCTAAGTTCTGATGACAGTAAGGTTGGCATTTGAGAAAAAGGTAAAATACTGAAAGACCTGTGATCCCGTTGTGTTTAACAAAGAGGTCTTCGTGGCTTCAGACATTAGCTTTTGGAATGAAATGTCTCCCACGTTTAACCAAGTGGTAAAAATATCATTTGCAGCCACAACTCACACTCTTTTGGATCACTGTACTTTTGAGAAGGCAAACATCTGTGGGATGATTCAAGGCACCAGAGATGATGCTGACTGGGTCCATGAGGACAGTGCTCAAGCTGGACAAGTGGATCACACCTTGCTGGGACAATGCACAGGTTGGTGAAGGAGGAAAGAGAACACTTTGAGGTGGTTCACCAGGTTCAGTCAGGTCATGCCAGCATATTTTGCCCCAATAAGAATGTTAGTTATCAAACTTGAAAATCTGAACAAGGACAAAGAGCATTTCTCATATCTTAATTATTAACTCAATAAATAGCATCCAGTTTCTGGGCATGCAAAAGAAAGATGCATTTCAGCAAAACTGATATGGACATATAGTTGACAAGATATAATAAGGGTGTTGTCTCAGAGCCATATCCTCCAACTGAAATATATCGTGAGCCATATATGTAATACAAAATGTTCTAATACCCACATGGATCTGACTCCGTGGTACAATAGATAGCATACTGAACTTCTAATACTCATGTGAAAAAGCAAAAGGAAACAAGTGACATTAATTTTAATAATGTATTCTATAACTCAACATATCCAAAATATTAGCATCTCAACATATAGTCAACATACACATTATTCTGAGATATTTCACTTTTTTATACTTAGTATTTGAAATCCAACTTGTACTCCCCCCGACCACATATCTCAGTTTGGACTGGCCACAATCAAAACACTCAGTAACAACATGTGTTTGGTAGCCACCATATTGGATAGGACAGCTTCACCCAGTTTCTGTACATGGTGTGTGTAGTGAAAAGTCATGAAGTCAGACACAACTGTTTTGAAATTTTGAAATATGACTCTACCATTTACTAATTGGGACCTCAGGAAGTTTGTTGTTGTGTGTGCTTTCTTTTCTTTTCTTTTTTAAATCTTGGCTTCCATAAGCCTCTTTGAACATCAAGATATTGATATTACTTCATAGTGAAGATGCAAGAAGATAAAGCACACAAAGCCCCCACCTACTGACCAGTGGCTTCATTCCTCATTTTCCATGTTCCCTGTCTCTCTGGAGGTTCCATTTACCTTTTATTTCTATTTTAGCATCCTTTTATTTTGTCATGCTGTTGAAATAATCTTAATCTTATTTGGAAGTAGATAGGGCTACAGATTATAATCGATTTTTAAAGACTGAATTATTGTGAAGCCCATTAGTCTGAAGTCCCTGGCTATCTGAGAGTTAATTAGGTTCCCTTCCCAGAAGGAACCCAGCCTGTCACCTAGATGCCAGTTGACCAGAGAGAATGCCAGAAGTGATAAGTCACTGTTACACTCCCTCCACCTTTGGCAAAGGATAAAAGTCTCTGTCACACATCAGATTATTAGACATATCATCCCAAGTGTCTAAAGGTTGATCCTAGCCTGAAGTTATGTCTAAACTTCCATTGTAGCCTCTAATCTAACCTTTCCTGTGGGGTTCCTGCCAAGTTAATATACAATTCTCAGCTAAACAGAAAGGAATTTTTATATAAGAGAAATCTACTGAAAGAACGTCTGGGGCAACTCCTTCGGGTCTCCTTCCACTGTGGGAGATTTTCTGTCTTCTCAATAAATCCTGCTTTCTCACTTAAAAAAAGAAGAAGAAGGAGAGAGAAAGAAAAAAAGAAAGAAAGTTCTAGAACCCTAGTAAGAAAGGAAAAAAATAGAAGAAACCATATCTCAGAAGAAATATCTGGAAAGATTTTATTCAGTTAACTTGCTTTCTGCACAGGAGGTGTTTAATGTCTCTCTGCTAGAGAGCTCCTGCATTGTTTCAGTAAATGCATAGGCTCAGAGGTCTCAAAGAATCCCTTAGGTAGAATTCACCTCCCATTTGAAACCCAGAAAAATGAATGAACACCTACTTACTGGTAGGACTGGAGCAAGAATTCAGACTTGTTTGGTCCCAGGCTTGTTATTTTACTTGTACTTCATATTTCCTAGTACTCCTGGGCAGGAATTCCTGAGGGAGGATCACCTAGAAACCTTCTTAGCCTTGATCTCTTCTTTTTTTAACCCCACGTGTTCAGTAACTTATAATGTAGATGTCTCGGGCTAGTATGTTCAAATATTGGAAAGAGTGTATGAGGGAATACAATTTCCTCTGATGTAATATTAAAGCCATTAAGATATTTTAAGTTTTATGGAAAGCTTATTTAAACCATCAGTGCTGGCTGCCGATGTGGAAGGCAAGTGCTTCAGATGGGGATCAGGATGCAGCAGGGACATCAGGGAGTATTGTTGGAGTACCTAGTACTATACCAAACACTTGCTTTATTTTTATCTTGTGAAATGTTTCCACTGGAGCATTTTGATAAGGAGTTGAGTGCTGGAGTACAGTTGAAAGGACCTTTTTATGTGCAAGAATTTTTCATTGGACTTGATTTTGAAAAGTGTATGGTTTTCCAAATGATGTATTTGTTCAGCTGCTTAATTGTTTTAGGGGAAAGAGTTTGGAACATCTGAATCAGGCAAACCCTATCTCTGGCACTAATGTAGATACTTTTCCCTCTCTTTCTTTTTCAGTGTTCTTCCGATAACTTTATATGCAGGAGAAATCTTCAGTTAGTCCCTAATAAGTCTTGAATGCCCTTTCTTGTAATACAGTAAAAGATTCTTTACCATGGATAATACACTCAGTTATTAGGCTAGCAACAGGAGAAATTGAAACTTTATCATTATAAATGTTTAAAATACAAATCCTAGATCTTTAAATACCATAGTTTCTTTTTTAATTTTTAATTTTATTTTAAAGATGTGGGGTACAATTCAGGGTTAGGTACATAATCGTCAAAGAAATGAAATTAAAACTACACTGAGATACCACCTAATTCCAGCCAGGATGGCCATCATTAGTAATTCAGAAAACAACAGATGCCGGAGAGGATGCAGAGAAAAAGGAATGCTTCTATACTGTTGGTGGGAGTGTAAACCAGAATCCCATGGTTTCTTATACAATTGGGAGAGTAGCTCCTTTCCTTGGAATACATTTTTAATATAAACAATGAAGTCAGTGAAGAAAATATAATTCATCTCACAGACACCAAATTCTATGAAACTTTGCTTGAAGCCTGTATTTCATAAGTCAGAGGTATATATTTTACAACCTTGGGGACAAAAACAATCAAAAGAGACAGTGGAAAGACACAACTTTAGCCAGTGACTATGTCCATTGAGACAGAATATTTACTGACAAATGATCATCTTTGTATTCTCTGCAGAAGAGTTATAGCTTTTGTTTCCTGGGTAATGGCGGTTGGTAACTATTTCACTTTGATGGGATGTAGGGATGCTCTCTCCATAGGTGCCGGCTACTTCATGCAATTCAATACAAGCTCAGGGTCAGCAGAAGAGGCAGCCCTGCTGGAATCTCGGATTCTTTACCCAAAGAGGAAGCAGCAGTGCCTGCAGTTTTTCTATAAAATGACAGGAAGTCCTTCAGACAGACTCGTCATCTGGGTCAGGAGGGATGACAGCACGGGAAATGTTCGCAAGCTGGTCAAAATACAGACCTTTCAAGGTACTTTGAGCTATTCACTCAAGGACTGATCTGGCTTAAAAACTGGGATTGTGTTCCTTCTCCTTCCCCTTCTCTTCCCTTTTCACCCTCCTACCTCTTTTCCTTCCTTCTCCTCCTCCTTCTCCCACTCTTCCTCCTGTTGTCTTCTTTCTCTCCCTCCTCCTTTTCCTTCACCCTGTTTCTCCTCTTCTAAGAGCCTAACATAGTGTCTACCATGTTTTAATCACTCTTTGAATGTTTTAACCACTCAGACATTGGAAACAGCATTGAGGGTTTAGGTGAGGCTGAAATATACTTTATAAGAAGTCAGTCAGAATATATAAATCTAGTTTTCACTAGTATTTTGGAGAAAACTAGGGCCAGGATTGAGAAAATGGGTGGTTGATATGGAGATCAGAGGGTAAAAGAGATGTAGGAATTGATAATGCAGGAAAAAGAGTATTTAAATAGTTGCTCATCTGTTTTGGAAAACAGAATGACACCATTATTTAAGATGCTGAAATGTCTTGAAGTCTACTTGTAAAATTGGTGGGAAATAAGTCATTTGTATATATTAACTTCACTATAAATCATTTATATGTTCCTAAATGTTATTTTGTGTATTTCTATAAGAAGGTTGACATGAATACCTTAAAATGCTAAGGTAGAAAGTCAGTTGTGAGGATCATCTGGCTGTAAATTAAGATCCAGGGTTATAAAGCCAGATATTTACTTTTTTTGTGGTGGTGATTCCTTTATAACTAGGAAAAGAGAAACGAATTTTTCTATTTTTTCATTCAACAAAGAATTTCTCAATTAAAATGAGTCCAGAGAAAAAACTATTTTTTGTTCACCTCTGGAAGAAACTGCTGCTCTTGAAGGGAGGAAGCATCCTTAGAGGACATTCAGAAGAACAGGTTAAAAAACCACCCTATCCAAGCCACTCTGTAGGCTACCTGGGAATACTGTAAATATTGATTTTGGGAGTTTCACTTTTCTGGCTGAAATTTATCATAGCTGGTATGATGGAAAGATGACAGCTAGATGCCCTTTAAGCAGGGGTCCCAGACCCCTCGGCCATGGACCGATACAGGTCTGTAACCTATGAACCAGGCTGCACAGAAGGAGGTGAACAACAGGTGAGTGAGCAAAGCTTCAGCTATACTTACAGCCACTGACCATCACTTGCATTGCTGCCTGAGCTTCATGTTACGTCAGATCGGTGGCGGCCTTAGATTCTCATAGGAGGGCAAACCCTATTGTGAACTATGAGAATCTAATGCCTGATGATCTGAGGTGGAGCTGAGGTGGTGATGCTAGCTCTGGGAAACAACTGCAAAGGCAGATTAACATTAGCAGTGAGGTTTGACCGCACAAAGACTATAATAACTCAGTTGCTTGTAGACTCATATCAAAATCCTATCAGTGAATGGAAAGTGATTTGATATACTTCAATTGTACAGCTGCATCTGGTGGCAGGCTTTAAGGAGAATCCAATACTTACTTTAGTTCATGTGTGGCCCACCCATTATTTTATTTACCAATTCCATCAGTGCCTCTTTTTCTAATGGTGAGTTGTATAATTATTTTATTATATATTACCACGTAATAATCATAGAAATAAAGTGCATAATAAATGCTATGCACTTGAATCATCCTGAAACCATGCCCCCATGCCCAGCCCCAGTCCACAAAAAAATTGTCTTCCAGCCTGGCTCAGTGGCTCAGCCTGTAATCCTAGCGCTTTGGGAGACTGAGGTGAGTGGATTGCCTGAGCTGGCGGGTTCGAGACCCGCCTGGGCAACTTGGTGAGCCCTCATCTCGACAATAAATCAAAAAATCAGCCGGGTGTGGTAGCACGTGCCTGTAGTTCCAGCTACTCGGAAGGCTGAGGCGGAAGGATCGCTGGAGCCCAGCAGGTCGAGGCTGCGGTGGCCGGGAGCAGCCATTGCACTCCAGTCTGGGCAACAGAGTGAGACTCCAACTCAAAAAAAAAAAAAAAATTATCTTCCACGAAACTGGTCCCAGATGCCACAAAGGATGGGGATTGTTGTTTTATATGGTTCAACCTAATGCTAGGGCATTCAGTGCTAACATTAGGGAGTGGGGTGCAGTTGAACCAGCAAACTCAGGAATAAATTCAGAACTTATGGAATGACATCATAGTGAAAAACAAATTCATGATTAAGATTTGAATATGAGCTGGGCTCGGTGGCTCAGTCTGTAATCCCGCACCTTTGGGAGGCTGAGGTGAGTGAATTGCCTGAGCCCGCAGGTTTGAGACCCTGGGCAGCGAGACCTCATCTCTACAATAAATCAAAAAATTAGCCGGGTGTGGTAGCGCATGCCTGTAATTCCGGCTACTTGGAAGGCTGAGGTGGAAGGATCCCTGGAGCCCAGCAGATCGAGGCTGCGGTGGCCAGAGGTGGCCACTGCACTCCAGTTTGGGCGACCGAGTGAGACTCCAACTCAAAAAAAAAGATTTGAATATGAATGTTAAAGTAAACCATAGTGTGTCTTTTTAAAAACTATTTTCCCTTATTAGATACATAACTTTAGAAAAGTTACTTATCTCGTTTTCAATAATACCTATTTTACAGGGTTGTTGTGAGGATTAAATGAGATAATTTATGGAAAGCACTTGGCACAGTGCCAGATTCATAGTATGTATTCAATAAATGTTGACCACAATTGTCATCAACCTTATTCTCTGTCCTCAGGAGATGGTGATCACAATTGGAAAATTGCTCACGTGGTGCTCCAAGAGGAAAAAAAGTTTCGCTACCTTTTCCAGGGTACAAAAGGTGACCCTCAGAACTCAAATGGGGGAATTTACCTGGATGACATCACTCTGACAGAGACCCCCTGCCCCACAGGGGTTTGGACAGTACGGAATTTCTCCCAGGTTCTTGAGAACACGAAGAAAGGGGACAGTCTGCAGAGCCCTCGATTCTATAATTCAGAGGGATATGGTTTGGGATTGACCTTGTACCCCCACGGCATGGCAAACTCCATCAGCTCTGGCTACCTGAGACTTGCTTTTCATTTGTGCAGTGGGGAGAATGATGCTATCCTGGAGTGGCCAGTGGAAAACAGACAGGTGATAATGACCATACTTGACCAGAAACCAGATGTCAGAAACAGGATGTCCTCAAGCATGGTTTTCACTACCACTAAGTTCCATACATCTCCAGGTGAGTGGTTTGAGCATAAATAAGAACTGCCCCTCAACCCAGAAGGGTTCACAGATGTGATTCTCATTGGTGTAAGAAAGAATAACATTCCTCTCACATTGTCTCCTTGGCCACAACAACAAGAGTTGTGTTGGATTATCACGTTAAAATGTTCAGTATCAGCTTATCCTTCTTCTCTTTCCTAAATTCAGTCTTCAAGCATCTATTGAGAGCTTACCATGTGCCAAACTCTGTGCTAGATACTTGGAATACAAGCAAATAGTTGGTTCCTGCTCCCACTGAGCACCGTCAGGTTGTAAAGACAGACACTGCTAATCATTTATCAAATACGCAGAACTTGCTGCAGAGCTAATGTACTTACTCCTAAAATATTACTGAATGTCAGTTTGCCCATGAAATAAATTTACATTAGTAAAGCTATGGGCAAATTATATATATATATATATATTTTTTTTTTTCCCAAAAGAAAGCCTTAAGCCCTAGAAGGAAGAAGTTGAAGCTGTCTCTCCCTCTTCATTAAGGAAGTCATTCAGTATCAGACAAGTGGTCATTCAGAGCTATGATTCTCTGCACCTTTCACCTCACAGTTCTGAATTTTAATTCTCCTGGAAAAAGTAAATAACTTGATTTTTTCTCCAACATATTTTTTTTTCTGATTAACAAAGCACTGTATCTATATCCTCATTAAAGACAAGTTGAAAAGTGAAGTATAAAGACATAATGTGATGTTATGTTGCCTATGACTTTGCAGAGATAAATGACTCTGTCATCTGGGACAGGCCATCCAAGGTGGGATCCTATTATTCGGACTGCAATTGTTATAGAAGCATGGACTGGGGTTGGAATGGCTTTATCTCCCACCAAATGCTAAAAAGGAGAAGTTTCCTTAAGAATGATGATCTCATCATGTTTGTGGACTTTGAAGGTACTTTTCTTGATCTTCCTGAGTTAATAATCCTATGCTCTCGGTACTCTACTGATTTTAAAGCAAATCATGGAGGGTGGGGATCTTTTTTGAGGCCAAGGTAAACAAGAAAAAAAAAAGATGTGTTGTGGAAGAACCACATTTTATTCAATTGGTCAAGGACTCACATCTTATTTTAACTGTCCTTGGAGAGAAACTAAAATTGTAGTGTCATCTTTTTGATGATTTATCAAGTAAAACAGTTTGCTGATTTCAAGTTATCTTCAATCAGTCTATCCATGCTAACTTTGTACTTCTTTTTGGAAGTTCAATAATAAAAATGGAATCTGGACTACTTTAAAATAAAAATAACTGGTATTATGAGAATTATCTGGATTCAAAGCTGCTTTTCCACATCACTAAGGGTGATGTCCATGAGGGGTAGAGGCAACCCAGGGAACTTTCTCCATAAGTGAGAGTTAATTGTAGTCTGTTATTAATCCTGGATCTTCTTTGTGATTCTTTGTCCACTTCCTAAAGATATCACCCACCTTAACCAGACTGAAGTTCTCACTAAAGACAAAAGGTTGACTCCCCAAGGCCTCGTTCTCCAAGGCCAGGGGCAGAAAGCCCCAGAAGAAAGTCCAGGAAAAGCCATGTTAGAGGAAGCTCTACCCAGTGGCCTGGACCAGGAGCACCCCAGCCGACAGAAGCGTTCAGTGAACAATACAGTCTCCATAGAGGACCACAACTGGCCACAGTACTTCAGAGACCCATGTGACCCGAACCCTTGCCAAAATGAGGGCATCTGTGTGAATGTGAAGGGAATGGCAAGCTGCAGGTAGGTTCTGTGGCCAGAAAGGCAGGTAGGTCATCAGACCTGAGCCAAGTGTATGCTTATTCCTGGTAAAAGGTACTGTTCAGACAGGCTTAGTGGCTCAGCCTGTAATCCCAGCACTTTGGGAGGCTGAGGTGAGTGGATTGCCTGAGTCCGCGTGTTCGAGACCCACCTGGGCAACTTGGCAAGAACTTATCTCTACAATAAATCAAAAATTAGCCTGGCATGGTAGTGCGTGCCTATAGCTCCAGCTACTTGGAAGGCTGAGGCGGAAGGATCGCCAGAGCCCAGCAGATCGAGGTTGCGGTGGCCAGAAGCGGCCACTGCACTCCAGTCTGAGTGACAGAGACTCCAACTCAAAAAAAAAAAAAAAAAAAAGATGCTGGTCACAGGGTAGGGCAATGACTACATCAGATGGTCAACTGGATGTGGTTTTTCTTGACCCTACAAAGGTATACCCTGGATCTGTGGGCTTATACTGCCAGGGCGAAGTCCCAAGTCTCCTGTCTCTTGACTCTTACCTCTTTACCACCTCTGAGGCATCTTGGATGTTGCTGAAATTTCTTACTCAACCACAGTCTCACAAAAGACCCAGGGATTTTAGCCTAGGGACTTTCTACTCCATGACCTGCTACAGTAGGACTCAAGACCAAGCTTAAATCTTCACTAACTACAGAAATTATTATTGATTATTAATTATTACTTTACTAATTCTATAGTCTGTCAGTTATGCTCTACTATTATATTTGTTTTCATAATAGTGAAAAGACTATCTGATATTTTAATGCTTGCTCTGTATCACGTGATCCCCTGAGCATTTTACATGCATGATCACTGCGATCCTGTGAATCATATTGTCCTTATTTTGTGCAGCAAGAAGTTGAAGCTTAAAAAAAGTTAAGTGATTTGTCTAAAATTATCCAGATGGTACATGCTGGGACTTGTATCCACGTCTTTCTGCCTGCCTGCGTAGTTGGCTATATTTAATAGCTTTTTAAAATAATGTTTGATTGCCTAAAAACTTAAGTTTTCATAACAGGATATAGGCGATGATGGAGCATCACTTGCATTTGATCAGTAGCAGATGCAGAAACCATTCTGTTAGTCTCAAACATCTATATTTCCCCTGAGTTCTCTTCAGTCTCTGCTCTGTTTCTCCTTTTTTAAACTTTTATTTTGAAATGACTTTAGACTTGCAGATACAATCCAAAAATAATATAAAGAACTTTGCTATATCTTTCACCCAGCTTTCCCTAATATAAGCATCTTATATAAACCATAGAACAATTAGTAAAGCCATGAAATGCACAATGCTCAGATTTCCCCAGCTTTTCCACCGATGTCCTTATTCTGTTCTAGGATCCCACATTACATTGAGTTTGTATGTTTCTTAGTCTACTCCAATCTAGGGACAATTCTTCAGTCCTTCTTTGTCTTTCATTACCTTCCTTGTCTTTCATTATACTTTTAAAATGCCTCGGCAGTGATTTTTTTGGTAAAATTTTTATTAATTTGGTTTTATCTTATTTTCTCATAATTAGATTTAGGTTATGAATTTTTGGCAAAGTTAGTAAAATGTGATATGCCCTCATGTGAGGGAGTACACGATGCCAGTATATGTCATACCTGGTGATGTTGGTGATGTCAACTTTAGTCATCTGGCCAAGGGGATGTCCACCAGCCCTCTCTACTTAAGCATTACCATCGCTCCCTCTGTCATTAACATATATCTTGGGAAGGATATTTCAAGATCGTGGAGACATATTGCTTTTCCTCAAATCCTCACCCATTAATTTTAGCCGCTATTGGTGGATCCTACCTGCACTCGTCTTTACTAGGATCTTCTAATGGTGATTTCCTGTTTCTTCCACTTCTGTCACATTCTTCAATTTGAATTCTTCTATAGAGAATAGCAACCCTCCCTCCCCATTAATTTATTCACGTAAGCATTCATTTGCATCACCAAGGAACCATGAACAGTTATTTTATTCTATGGGTTATATTACAATGATTCCATGATTTATTTTGTCACTCCTGTTGTCCCATATTTGGCCTTTGGGAGTTTTCCAGGCTGGTACCTGTAGTCTCTTAACAAACACCCATAATTGTATGAGCATAATATTACTTTCTGGTGCCATGGCATGTTCTAGACTCATGCTTCATTTTTCCCTGTCCCGGTCTTAGAATTAATCACTTTTCCAAGGAGTGGTCTGGCTCCATTAATTGGAGAAGGGTCACCTTGTTTCTGGCCTCCAAAGCCATAGGCCTACACATCTTTGCCTGATAGGTCCTTGGATGCCAGACTGCAATGTATGTCCCAACCGGCTTCATCCTTCCAAGGGATAGGCCAGGGGTTGTCACTTGTGTGTCAGCCTCTAGTCAGCCAAATTATTCCTCTCCTACAACCTGCAGCTTGGAGTTTGTGGAATAATCTTTTCTAAGGTTACACTAGTGAATATAATTAAGCTGTATTTGGATAGGACTGGGTCAGAAAAAAATTAGACAAAACTGCTACTACTCACAGATTTCTTTTTTTTTTTTTGAGTTGGAGTCTCACTCTGTCACCCAGACTGGAGTGCAGTGGCCGCTCCCGGCCACCGCAGCCTCGACCTACTGGGCTCTGGTGATCCTTCCGCCTCAACCTTCCAAGTAGCCGGAATTACAGGCATGCGCTACCATGCCTGGCTAATTTTTTGATTTATTGTAGAGATGAGGTCTCACTGCCCAGGCGGGTCTCAAACCCGCAGGCTCAGGCAATCCACTCACCTCTGCCTCCCAAAGGCGCGGGATTACAGGCTGAGCCACCGAGCCCGGCTTACTCACAGATTTCTAAGAGGCCGAGGCAGTGACCCACCAACTAGTATTGACCAGACCACAGAAGCACCTTCTCCATTCATGCCTTCCCTTTCTGTGGGCAGTGTGGTTTGGGGAAGTTTTTAATCAGGCTAGAGATGAGGACTTGAATGGTAAAACCATTCAGGATTAATAAAAGAAAATACTGACTTAAGATTATTTCATTTTGCCTGTAGAATTCTGCTGAGTAGATTTTCTAATAGAAATGTTTGAAACAAAGGCTGGAATTGTAATAATGGAATGGATGAAATGCTACCAGTAATGCCTTGGTTCTGAAATTAATGGATCTTTATACCAAACAACATTTAAAATAAAACTAACAAGGCACAACCATTGTGTGCCTACTGTGTGACAAATCCCTCGATGAGTGCAATATCCTCATTATCTCATGAACTAGGACAGCCTTATGAGAGAGGGAACAGCACCCTAGCCTTGCGGCAACATTTTAGGTAATATTGTTTAGAAGTTTTCAAGCTACAACTGATACACCAAGTCAGACTTTCTGGAGAGTTTCCCCTGTAGCTTCTAGTCTTAGCCAGTACCAGACAATGCATTTCTTAAGCATCTCAAACCTTCCTCCTGAATCTTTGGTGGTCAAGTGGCACTTGGATTTGAAAGCATACCTCTTGGGACTAAACTTCCAGTGTAAAACAGTGTGGCCTTGAGCATGTTAATTAACCTTACTGGAAAATGAGGATGGTGGGAATCGCCAAGTAATAACCTCCACCTCAAGGGATTGTTGCAGGATTAAATGAATTGATTCAAGTACAGTGCTTGAAATGGGACCAGGCAGGTGGAACTGCTCAGTAAGTGCTTGCTGCTACTGTTGCTATGGTGATGCTTGTTGCTAGGAGGCACCCAATGCCCGGGTAGTTCTCACTCTTCCCTTGTGTCCTGTTCCTTCAGGTGCGTCTCTGGACATGCTTTCTTCTACACGGGGGAGCACTGTCAGGTCCTGCAGGTGTATGGAAGTGTCCTGGGCCTGATGATCGGAGGCACAGCTGGCACGATCTTCTTAACACTCACCATCATCTCCATCCTTTCCCAAAGGCCAAAGCAGTGACCCACCTGCTGGTATTGGCCAGACCACAGAAGCACCTTCTCCATTCATGCCTTCCCTTTCTGTGGGCAGTGTGGTTTGGGGCAGTTTTAATGAGCTCTGCTTTGAATAAGGCCACCAAAGACCAAGACCTCCAGCCCATGTGTGACCTTTATCATTTTTCTGTCCCCACATGGTTTGACTTTGTTACCTAGTGTGTCCCATGGTGACACTTCTCATGCTTAACTGTAAATCACTTGTTTGATCAGTTGTCTTTCCCATAGACTGTAATCTCCATGAGGGCAGAGGCTTGGTATCCTCATTGGCCAACACACTTCCCTGGCAGGCACGTTGTGGGCACTCAATAAATCATAAGTGAATGAATAGCTAAGATAGAAAAACTCATTTCTATTTCATGTCATAAAATTCATATGTTGGCTATATTAGAATCAGGTATTCATTTTTCATCAAACACAATTATATCATTGGTCTTTTGAGGTCTTCTTAAAGGACTTGAAATAAAGATTCCCCTGGGTATCAGGGCTTCGCATTTGCTTTCCTCTTCCTCTGACTCTAAGGAAAGCCTCTTAATAAATTCAATAAATATTAAGTTGGCACCTTCTGTGTGTCCAGCATTGTACATAAGTGTGGGTGTGCATGTGAGTGCTGGAGAGTTGAGGTGTCCAAAAGCTCTCTCTCAGATTTTTAAAGTGTATTCTATCTGCTGTTTATGCACAATATCATCACATAAACAAACCGAAAGTATCAGGTAGAAAGAACTTTAAAGAAATATTTTAAGATACACTTTCTTTCCATGATTCCCAGGGAGATAAAATCTGACTGGGGCAAGAAAGTTCCAAGATAGATCAAGTGAAAAGGAAAGCTGAGGTTCTTGTCACCAATCATCAAAGAACCAGCACTAGAAGTTTAATAAAAGAAAAGATTTCAAAGAGCCTGAGTGATTGCTAGGCTTCCTAAGAAGAGACTTTTTGGAAATTCTGTGGAATTAATATGCACTAGAAAGTTGGTTATAATGGCACATGCCTTTAATCCCAATGTTGTGGGAGGTTGAAGTGGAAGAATGACTTGAGGCCAGGAGTTTGAGACTAGCCTGGAAAACATAACGAGACCCAATTTCAACCAAAAAAAATTAAAAATAAAAATATTCGCAGGACATAGAGGCATGTGCCTATGTTCCAGCTACTGAGAAGGCTGAGGTGAGAGAATCACTTGAGGCCAGGAGTTCCAGGATAAAGTGCCCTATGATTATACTTGTGAATAGCCACTGCCCTACAGCCTCACAACATAATAAGACTCCATCTCAAACAATAAAATAAATGAAACATAAATGCCCGGGAAACAAAATGGGAGGGTTAAGAAGAGTCCCTTTAGTGCAAAGGTGTGAGAACAGTTTGTAGTGGGTGAAAACATTATCCCTTAGGGCAGTAATTCTCAAACTTAAGGTTCATCAGTATCTCTGGAGGACTAGTTAAAACACAGATTGCAGAGCTTCTTGTGCAGATGGGACTATATTGGATGCTATCCAGCCACCAGCCCAGTCATATTATCTCCAAAGACCGAATTGGAAATAGAATCCAGCTTTGTTTCTTCATGTGCTTCACAGTCCTGCAAGCCTACAACTGACTTCGCAGTCAGGTCAATAGACCTGGGATAAGATTTTGCATCCTGGCTGCAGGCTTGGATTGACTATCCAGCAGGCTGTGTCATTTTAGCAAGAAATCTTTTAAGCTCTTGGTCTTAGTTTACTAATCTGTCAAATGGAAATAATAAAAAGCAGATGCCCAAATTTCAAGTGTAACCTGGTATTTTGATCAAGCACCATAATTTATGATTGCTAGGTCAAAATAATGATAAGGAGGCACCAGACTGAGGTAACACATTTTGATATTTATTTCTCTATAGATTTGCATCAACACTATGCCTACTATCTCATTTCATCTCTTTTGGTGATTAATAGTCATCTCTGTTAATTTATTAATAATCTGGCTCACCATATATCAGACATGGTGTTTAGTTTTTCTTTGAGCCCAAAGCCCTCAATCATTCCAGAGAATTAGCAAGTACTTTATTCTTTCAAGGTGTTTGAGTAGTGATAGAGGAGTGGGCATGTAGTTGGGGAAAGAGATAGAGAAATAAGCATTGCATCATCTCTAGCCAGTGTGGGAATTGGGATTCAGATAAGCAACACAGAAAATTGGAAAATCCTCCTTGTATCTGGGTGTTCCATAGAGAATAAGTCTCAGTAGCTCAAAAGTCTGAAAATGTTTCCCCCTACCCTTTACCTTCTACTTCCCCCCTGCCTATTTTCCTCTGTGAACTGACCTGAGTCAATTTTGCCATCCACAAATGTCAGGTTCTTTAGGTAATATCAAGAGTCTCTGATACTTAAAAGTAGGTAAGAATGATGCCCTTCCCTGAAGATGTTAAAGTGTTTTATCTGTGCTTTTAAGTGTTCAAACAAGCATATTGGATTAAAGGTTCATTCTAGGCACGGTGTAATCAAATAATCTGAGGGCCAGGATCAGTGAACTATCTACCCTCAGGGTTTCTGGACCTCAGTACTAGTGATATTTTGAGATGGATATTCTTTGTTTTGAGGTCTGTTGTTCCATGCATTGTGGTATGTTTAGCAGCACCCCTGGTCTTATTACTGGTTGCCAGTAGTACCACCTCCCTAGTTGTGACCATCAAAAATCTCTCAGACACTGGCAAATGTCCCCTGATGGGAAAAGTCATGCCTGGTTGGGAACCACTGTCTAGTTGGATCAATCAATGTCAATGAAGGAGACCCAAAACCAAATAGAGTTCTAGTCTAATGTTCCACTGCCAAAGTTAGTTCACTGGACCCCTGCTAGAGTTTTGGACCTATAGCTATCTTGATAGTTCGATTTCACTAGTGCAAAGGTTATTTCTAGCTTCCTTTAAGTTAATAACAAGCCCATTGGTGTAGTTTGAAATAGCAATATTTAAGGTTTTTACCACAGAGATTTCTCTGGTATAGACTTTTGATTAAGATCTTTCAAATGCTAACTAACCACCCTTGGAGTGTGTATTCCTTTTCAGAGAACATTGAACCTCCACTAGGGTATGGATTCTGATTCACCTGCATACTGTATACAATACCCATATTGATGTATTTACAAGCAAATTGCAGACAATCTAACACCTTCCCTTCTTGAACTCCTCCTTTCTGATGAAAGCTCCTTTTTGACTTGACAGAGTCTTAGAGATTCTGAAGTCCAACTCTTATATTTGAGGAAACTGAGGCGATTCTAGAGAGGACAAGTGCCTTAGGTAGGTCACAGAGCCACTTAATAGTAGAATATATTATTCTCATCTGACTCCAAAAAAGTTTAAGAAGATCCTAGGTTTAGAAGGTCCTATGAATTGTGGGCTATTCTACAGCTGACATCATTTAAAGGTCTTTTTTGCTTGATTTTCCTTAATATAGATCCCATTTTATTCTTAGTCACCTAGTCAACATTTCCATGTGTTTAGGAATATGGACAAAACAATTTTCCTATGTTATTTTTAATACTAATGTAATGTATTTTTTCCAAAATCTCTAGGTAAAATAAAACTTCAAAAAGTTAGATGTTATCCAATAGCTGTGAGTACCATTTAAGAAACTATAGAAAACCTTAGTGAGTGGGGGTTGGGAGATGATAGGGTTGGGTGTTGGTGACCTCTAATGGGTACCAATGCAAAATAAAATGACAGAAACTATTTGATACGGCCAGGGCAGCACAACAGGATGTGTATGTGTGTGTGATGTGTGTGTGTAAGAGATGGAGCTAACAATGATATCAAAATGAAGATAAGACCTCTCTCTCCTCATCTTTCACAATTTTGCCAAGGGTTAGTCCCAGAATCCCAGAATGGATTACGGCATGACCTTATCTGGGCTACCCCTTCCCCAGGGCCTAGATAAATTTAGGACAATTTAGCCCATGTGTGACTCACTAGTTTAATGGAAACCATTAGTAAAATTTAAAGATTACTCTCTGGTCAAGAACAAAAAGAAAGTAGAAAAGCAGCATCATAAGAAAGGTATGAGGAGAGAGTGGGAGGCAGGGGAGACATTCAGATGATCTACCCCAGGCAAACATGGTCCCCACCCTCCATTCTCTCTTTTTTTTAGTAATAAAATCCTCAAGTCTCAGCTGAGTAAATGGCTTCCGTAATATAGGTCAGTTTCTCCCATATCCCTTGTAGGTAGGTGGGGCTGTGTGACCAAATTCTGGCCGTTGGAATAGAAGCAGAAATTCACATTTGAGATTCTGAGAACCCTTCCTTAGAGAGTCTTGGTGCACATATCATCAGTTCCTTCCTCTATTCCAGTGACTGATAGGGGGACATGGTGACCAGAGCGAGGACTGCCATCTGGGGCCATGAGGTGACTCTGGGAAAAGCAGATACATATATATATGGAAGTATTTGTATTCCTGAGAACTACATGAAGCCAAGCTGTCACACCAGTCTTGGGCTGCTTATCTACAGACTTTTCTGTGCCAGAGGAATAAACTTCTGTTTTAACTGACTTCATTTGAATCACTGTTACTCACAGAAAACAAAATCCTAACTGGTACAATAGCTTCTGCCCTGCCATATACACATGTACCTATGGGTGAGAAAATAGTTGCTTTTCTTTTCTTTCTTTCTTATTTATTTATTTATTTATTTATTTATTTATTTATTTTGAGTTGAGGTCTCACTCTGTCACCCAGGATGGAATGCAGTGGCACAATCACGGCTTACTTGAGACAGAGACCCATTAATATTCCTCCACGTTGTCACAGACCCTAGAGAAGGGCATGGTGGGGATTCAAGCACACCTGCACATTCCTGAGCGCTTTCCTGAAAGTCCACTTGTCTTCTATGCACTCCTAGTAAGTAGCTTCAGGGGACCCTCAACTTCCCTGCAGACTATGCCCAAAGTTGTAAATCCCTATTTGCTCCTTTCTTTGAACTATATAGTATATATAGTATCAGTGTAAGTAAGT